GCCGTGGGAACCCTAGCCAGGCAGCAAAGGTCCTTGGTGTCAGGGGGGATAGCCAGCCCCCCCCATCCGGGGAGAAAGAGAAGAGGCGCGCGGGGTGGGGGGGGAGAGGGAGAGGGAGGGAATCCTCCGCCCCTCCGAAGGCTTCCCGAACGGCCTGCCAACTGGGGCCAACTTGAGAGACCGAGCGAGGAGCTGCCGCCCGCCCTCTCGCTAATGAGCCTCTGGCTGCAACCCCGGGAACGAACGCGGGGAAGCGGGGAGGAGGAGGAGGAGGAGGAGGGCGATCTGGGCTCGTGCGGGCGTTCGTGGATGTGTGTAAAAGGGAGGAGGAGGAGGAGGAGACGGAGGGGGGAGGAAGAGAGGAGGAGACGGAGATGCAGCTGCCCGGGCGATAGGTAAATATTCTCTCTCCCGCTCGCCCTTCTTCGCCCCTGCAACCGGGGGGGGCGGCGGCTCCTATCTTGTAACTAAAGGCTGAGATGAGTTCCGTGGCGAGACTTTTAAAACAAAATTAACAAAAGAAGGAAGCAGGAGCACCCCGACAGCTCTTTCCCAACGCCGAGCTTCTCGGGCTCTCCCGGCGGCATTTGAGCCGCCACGGCGTCTCGCGCTCCACGCTTGCCAGAGCCGGACCGGGAGGGGGGGGCACCCAAAGGGCTTCGGCGCTGGTTGGGGAGAAGGGAGTCTCCACCTCTCCGTTCTCCTCTCGCTTCCCTTGGTCCAGCCGGCGGGGCAGGGCGCTCGGCTTGCGTTTCCCTCCCAAACTTTTGGGGCTTTGCAACAGGAGCTGTGTGAAGAGGTCAGAACGAGCCTCCTTTCTACTTCCCTCGGAACTGCCTTTAAAAAAAAAATACAGGCGTGTATACGTGGTGGGCACACAACCGCTTGCACTTGTTTTGTGTGTGTGTGTTGTTTTTTCACCGCCCGCGATCACTTCGGAGAAGCGAGAAGAACCGCGAACTTTTCGGAAAGCTCTGTAGTAACTCGGGTAAAGGCAAGGACCGTCGGCGAGGAAGGGCGTGGCAAGCCCGGGCCCCGCCCCGCTCCTCCCGAGAAGAAAGCCGCCTCTCCCAAAATTCCCCCCCACCCCAAGACGCTGCCTCTGCAGCTGCGTGCAGCCCCTTAAGGAGGCCTGAGTTGCTGCGCGCGGCGTCATTCAATCGCTGGCACGCTCGGATGTCCTCGAGGAGACAGGCCAGCCTCCCAGAAACTTAATCGCTTAGCGGGTCGCTTCTTAACCCACAGCCGTGCAGCCTGCGCTTCCTTTTTTTTTCCCTCCGCTTGTCCCGGACAATTCAGGAGGGAGAGATCGCTTGATCCCTTTCCCAGGGAAAGCAATGGGATCCTTCTCTAGTGGATCCCTCTCTTCCTAACTTAGATCTATGACCCTCCGAGCTCTGCGTGCGAGTTTTGGGCCCCTCCGCTGGCTCTTATTTGCTTTCCCACTTTCTCCTGCTTAATTCCCCACCGGTTTAAAAAAAAGGGGGGGGGAACCAATTAAATGAACCGTGCTTGAGCGGAGTCCTGCCTTCCATCCGCGTCTTCTGCTTCCCCCAGGACCAATTAGAGAAAACAAAACAAGGCCGGGGAGAAAACGGATCTGTCTAGCAGCTATTTCTCTCTCCTCCCTTCCCCTTTTTGTTCTCCGTCCTTTTCTCTCTCCTCCTTCCCCAGCCCCGTCCTTCTTCTGCAAGGTAATGCCAGGCATCAAGCGGAGGTTTCTCTCCACGTCTTCCTAGAAACACGCGGGCGCCGGTTGCTTTCACGTTTTCGGAAACCAGCCTCGATTTTCTGAGCAAGAAGAGACTGGTGCGTGAAGAGAAATAAATAGAAGAACAACCCAGAGAAGCCGGGCTGTGCGCGTGGTCTAGGTTTGTACTGGGATGTCTCTCGGGCACTTGCGGGACTCGTCGTGATAGGGCAGGCCTCGGGCTCGTGAGAACGCAAGGACGCGCGTTGCTGGCAAAGCCCGCATCGGCGCCGCGAGAGGCACGCATCCCTTGCGCGTACTGGTCCCGAACGACGCACGGGAATGCACGCCGCGCGGTACGTGCTTGTTGCGTGTCTACACTTTCCCTCCCGCCAGCCCTGGCGCCGGGAGGCTTTTTGCGCCCCAGACCTCGAGGAGGCAACCGGGCATCATCAGGCTTGGCCTTGCAGACGTGCCACTCGGCGCACTCCCGGCCAGGTGGCCCAGAGGGGAGCCAAAGCAGCCGCGGCGAGTCTGCGGGGCCGTTTCCTCTTCGCTGCCAACCCGGTTCCACAGGCAGAGATCGGCGCGAGGCTTCCTCCCTGTCGAGACGAGGCGCGCGCGCCGGGCGGGGGGGGGGGAAGAGAATGAGTGCACACGCGCGGTGGTTCTGCGGGGAGACGACGCTGCAGAATCAACAAGTCCTGCCAAGATCTAATGGGCAGATTTGGCGAGATAGCCTCCTCGAGACCATCATGTTTTGCATGCTCATTTGCTGTCAAGAAGGCTCTTTAGGTTACCTGATCCATTCTTATTCTTCACTCCTCCCGAAGATGTGGCGGCCAGTGCATGCTACCTTTTTTGCTGAGAAATGCGAGGAGCATTTCTTCTCCTTTAGAGCAGTGGCGGGGGACGTTTGCCTCCCCGTGCTGTTGGACTGCAATACCCATCACCCCGGAGAGTTGTAGTCCCAACATCTGATCCACTGCATGTGCCCTCCACCCATGGTGCAGATCTTTTGCTTCTTCATTGGATCAAGAAGCCTTTCCTTCTGTGGGTAATTCTCTTTTAGTTCTCTTAATACACACATAATTTTTTTATTCCACACTCTGCTTGGAAGAGGAAGCATTAAATCAGAATTTCCTCAAGGAACAAGTTCTTCATTTTCACATTTGCACTAAGATTTTCTGAAAGCTCTCTTTAGGAAAAAAAAAAAGTAGAGAAAGATGGGATGGAGATGTGCAGACAATGTGACCAAGGCTGTTAAAATATTAATCAAGAAGTGCCTGGCCTTACAGAAACTGATGATGCAGAATAGTTCAGTTAAGTTTTACTCTCTGTCCAACCCAAATACATTTCCTGAAATAATTGAACTCCCATCAGCCAGTCTCTGTCTTAAAATAGTACTGTAAAACATTTTATTCCACTGCATGGAAAGAATTTCAGCTACCTGCAAGTAATAAGGAACATATATTTTAGAACAGAATAGAAAGAAAGAGGAAAAGAATCAGTTGATAGAGCTGTTTATTATTTCCACTGAACTCAGCGTTGAGAAAATTGATGAACATTTTGATCATTTTGAGTCTGACTAGCTATGTTATAGACATAATTTCTTCTATATTATTAATGTTATTGTTAATTATTATCATTAAACTATCAGGCGCAGTTAATCAAAATTATAAAAACATTGGCTGTGACAGATACAAGATTTAACCAAAAAACCTAATTATCTGTTAAATATTGGCACAATTTTTATTTTATTTTATTTATATCCCGCCCATCTAGTCAATTAAGACCACTCTGGCGGCTTACAACATACACAATAAGACATTATAAGAACCGATTTTTACATAATAAAAGACATTTCAAGAGAAAAGACAAACAATAAGGGATGCTGTTACTAATGTTGCTGTTTCTTGTAGCTCTGATGGTTATTTCTGAGATGTGGAACCACTTATAATACTGTGGTGCTGTTGTCTAGGACAACTACAAGCAGTAATTCATTGCCTTATGCAAAGAGGCAAATAGGTTAGGGCAGGGATGTCAGGAGAAGTGTGCTGACCCTTTAGGATTCTTCCTGTGTAACTGCCTCCATTCTATAAGGATGTACTTGAAGATCTCCTTGGAAGGAAGGTGTCTCTTAAACTTTACCTGTAAGCAGAGATTCAGGGCCAAACTAAGCCATTTCACATCTTTGAGTCAAAGGATGAAATGGCTTGTCCAATCAGTGTAAAGAAGATGGGCAGAATGGTAGCTAAATCTCAGTTTCAACCCTGATAATTGGACTGTGGGGCAAACTAGATATTGCCTGTGATCATCAACATGTATTTCCTCCAGTGACAAGATACCCTTGGAGATGTGTGCTTCAGTATCAGATTGGGGGGGGGGGGAGCTTCTGTTTGCCTTCTAGCAAGCAGTCATAGAACAGAACACGACTAAATACAATAATTGGAGGCAAGGAAAAGGGACTGACTAGGGCAGATGTACCAGACAAAATTGATCTAGGAAGCTGTAACCGCCACACTATTCTACATATTTCCCCAGGAAGTCAATGCACTTGCAACATCTGTCCTGCAGCTTCTTAAGTCCCTGCAAATAAAATTCTTCCGACTGCTAGTATAACCACTAATTCGCAGCATTAGGCATCACTTGAAAGCCTAAAGATGTCAGTTTTGCCATTGTTTCACTTGCAGTGTGTGACGAGGCATTGTCATACAACAGGATGACACCTTTGGAGAGCTTTCCTCAACGTTTTCCCTTCATGTTTTGCCTCAACTTCGTCAATAAAGCACAGTAATATTTTGCATTGATGGCTGAACCCTGTTGGAGGTAGTCCACCAGCAGAACTCCCTTCTTATCCCCCAAAAAACTCTTGCCATTTGCTTCTGCACCGACCTTTGCATTCGGAGCTTCTTTGGTCTGGGGGAACCACTGTGCCTCCATTCCTTAGACTGTTCCTTTGTCTCAGGATCACAACAGTAGATCCATGTCTCATCACCAGTTACCAGTTTGCCCAGGAAATCTGACTCATTTCTTG